GCCAGAGAGGCTCGGAGTGGCGGCGGATGGACGCGTCGAGCCGCGGCGGGTTACTGCACAGACTCGCGGATCTGCTGGAGCGAGAGCGCTTTGTGCTGGCGGTGAGTCTGGGTCGAGTTGTGTTTACGCGATTAATTAGATCGACGCGCGCATGCGGCGTAGACTAGCTACACTAAATTCGCGTCGCTACTCATTTGTGTAAAGCTTTTTTTTTTTTTTTTTTTTTTTTACAAAAGTCATGTTAATATGTGAGTATCAAATATAATACATCAGGATTTTGAGGAACAATTATTTGTACATCTCCTAATCATTATTGTATTGCATTGCATTGTTTGTTTTGTCACCCACAGTAAAAACTGCAGACCCTTTGATCATAAGATCTAAGCATTTAGATACCATCTTACGAAGTCATATTACTGGGAGATATAGAGTTAAATATGATATTTCTAGGCATTTTATGTAAGTAATCTGCTATACTGTTATAAAATTCTCATTGATTTACATTAAAAGCTATCAGAATTTCATCTTAGTTTTTGGACATATAAAAACTGCACCAAATCACATATTTTTTTCTCACCATGTGCCTCTGAATAAAATGGAGGGTTTTTTTCTACTCCTTGAGTATGAGCTCCATATTCTCCTGTATGATACTAAATGAGCCAAAAAAGCCTGATGTATCAACTATACTCAAAATGTGTAAATAAATTTTTCTAACCATTATTTAATATGTCAAGCTTTACAGCGTTAATGGATCAGATTTATATGCATCCCTCCCACAGTATACTTCGCCGGGCGCTTGACAAGATTGCCGAAATTAAATCCCTTCTGGAGGAGAGACGGATTGGTAAGTCTTGGATATTAGTTTGTAAACATGTTCATCTGCATGTATTTGGACAAATGTGGAAGCTAATCAAACCTTTCCCTTTCTGCAGCTGCCAGGATGGCAGGAGTGTACAGTGACACCGACCCACCCAGAAAGACCATGCGCAGAGGGGTCCTGATGACCCTGTTACAACAGTCAGCCATGACACTTCCTCTCTGGATCGGCAAACCTGGCGAGAGGTATTCAGAGTCTCCTACATTATGCTTTCTTCATTTTAGAAATGCTTATTTAGTCAGTGAAAAATGAGTCAAAATTGTTAAATTTCACTAATTCATACCTGTCTTACTCCTTCAGTCCACCACCACTGTGTGGCGCTATACCAGCAAGCAGTGACTATGTGGCTAAACAGGGCGACAAGGTGGCGGCGCGTGTGAAGGCCGTAGATGGTGATGAGCAGTGGATTCTTGCAGAAGTTGTCAGCTACAATCACTCCACCAACAAGTAATCATCTACCAATTTAACTCAGCAATGGGGCTATATATTTATTTCATTTTAGCTTTTAAACTTGATTGTGTAAAATGATAATGTAACATCATGATGATATTCTTTTATCAGGTATGAAGTGGATGACATTGATGAAGAGGGTAAAGAGTAAGTACAGATCCATTATTCATGATTTTCACCCTCATGTGAATAGATACACTGTTGTTGTTGTTTTTTAAAGAAATCAATAATTTAGTTAGGATGCATTGAATTGATCAAATGTGACAGTAAATACATTTATAATGTTACAGAATGCTTATATTTCAAATGAATGCAGATCTCTTGAATTTTCTATTTTTCTATTTTCAAGATCCTTGAAAAACTGCATCATAGTTTCCACCAAAATATTGAGCAGCATAACTATTTCCAACATTTACAAGAAGAAATGCAAATCAGCATATTAGAATCATTTCTGAAGGATCATGTGACACTGAAGACCTGAGTGTAATGATGCTGAAAATTCAGCTTTGCATCACAGGAATAAATTACATTTTAAATAAAGTTATTTTAAATTAATTAAACACATAAATTAATTAGTGACTCCAAACTTTTGAACAGTAGTGTAATTCCAGGAGTGCTTTACTCAAATGATCTCATTTTCTCTTTTATTCAGGAGACACACGTTGAGTCGGAGAAGAATAATTCCTCTTCCACAGTGGAAAGCAAACCCAGAGACCGACCCAGAGGCCCTGTTCAGTAAGGATCAGCTGGTGCTGGCCCTCTATCCACAGACCACGTGCTTTTACAGAGCTCTGATCCACACGCCGCCACATCGGGTGAGCAGAACCAGAATGAGTTCAAACACTGATTGAAGTGTAGGATAAGAGGCTTCAGAGATACTCGAAGTGTTGAAGATTTGTTATCACTCTTAATGATGCTACAGGGAGGTTTGTAGCAGTGCTTTTTTGTAAAACCTTCCAAACTCTTGTTAGAATATTTCTTTGTTATGGGGTTTGTTGCATCACTAGACCAGATATATATCAATAGAAGAATAATTTACCTATAATTTGATACATCTCATGTCTTTTCCAGCCCCAGGATGACTACTCGGTTCTGTTTGAGGATACATCTTATGCTGATGGCTATTCTCCACCTCTCAACGTCGCTCAGCGATATGTAGTGGCCTGCAAGGAGAACAAAAAGAAGTGATAGAAATATACAAAATGGGACATTATTTGCAAAAAGATCCTGCATGGTTGTTGTGATTTGAAAACAGGATATTGAGCATCGATTCTGTTTTTATGTGTTATTTTCCCCATTTTCTGTTACCATGTACATAGTATTGGTATATTTTATACTGCATCTTTTGTATTATGTTTTTGTGAATCTGAATGCAAGGAGACCAACTGCAATGGAATTGGGCTTAAGTAATAAACCCTTTACATGTGAATTAAAGGTACACAAATCACAAATCTATTGTCTGTATTTTGCAATGGCCAAATAGTATGTTTCAAATGTTAAAAATGGATCTTGTAAAGGGCTTGTAACCACCACAGATACTCAGAACTACACGTTCACCAAACAGTGGTCAATAATTTTATTTTATTTTTTTAATGGCAGATTCTTTTAAAGTTTTTTTTATATTCATCTTGAATATATAATTCCATCCTTGATCTTGAGATAAATTAAATCTTGAAAGATGAACATTACACCACGGCTTCTAGACCTTTTTCTAGTATTGTATTATAGAGTGAAGCTGTTATTAATAGTTATATAAATTATCTTAGCCTGGGAAAAATTCACTATTCACTAAAACATTAACCTCATCAATGTAAGAAGAATCAATGGAATAAACTAAAGTATTTTTTTAATTACTGCTTAAACAGACAATACAAAAGGAACATAGTCAAGGGATCACATTCAAATCCAGAAAATAATAACCAATAATAATGACCACATACACATTAATAGTAACTTAAATACTGTTACAAAAAAAAAAAACGTGAATGACACTACAGAGACATTACAACGAGATAAAAAAAACTCACATACAAGGAAAGCATCTAAAAACATGAATTTTCTTTAAATACTTCTGTGTAATATTTCAGAAATCGTAGGGATTTTTTATTGTTTATAACAGCGGTTCCCAAACTGGGGTGCACAGACCGACCAGCAGGGGTGCGCGAGAGAATGCTTTTGATGATCTGTGTGCATTTTTTGAAGGGGCAAGTGAAAGAGAATTTTACTTGCCCGACCGGACAACTAATCTAATTTTATTAAAACATCGAATTAGGGAAGCACCAAAATTTCGGCGAGAATGATTCTGATTTTATTACACTTGGTGTAAACGGCAATTCATAATGGATAATCAATAGTAACAAGGTCGCGGCAGTTGAGACTCACGTGAGACAATCTCATGGAGAAATCGAAACAAATGAACACAACTGCACACAGAAGAAACATACTACGGTAAAAAAACATGTAGTTTTTATATTTATTACATAAAGCCTAGCCTAATTAATTAACATGACACGACTAAGAGAGTGCAGTTTTCCCCGAAAATCAGTACGATTGTAAATTCGACATTGATTTTAAACAAGACTTCAAACGAGTAGTTAATATTAAGTGACTTAGGGCATATATTTTAGTACAATAATGTCAATGTGACTGTTTTTGCTCGATTTGTTTAACGAAAATAGTTCCAAACAAACTTAGCAGCAGAACTGCCGCGCATCTCTGATCAACACACAGTGTCAGCGGTGTTTCGTTAGGCTACTGAATGATTAGTCATATAAAACATAATTTCCCGACAACAAAATTGTGGCCAGTTAAAATATGTGTCTGAGTGGCTAATTTTGGAAAACCCCAAGCACTGTGGCTGGTGAGCAAAAAAGTTAGTCAAGCCCTGTATACAGTGAATATTTGTATTACTGTAGTTAAAAATTTGGTTTTTAGGTGATGGGGGTGCTTGACGTGTGTCAAACACTAGAAAGGGGTGCACGCTGCAAAAAGTTTGGGAACCACTGATTTATAAGATGAAGAGATTCTAGAAGTGAGTTTAATTCAATTTTAAAAAGAGGATAGGATGGGAAACTATTTGCGAACTTTTGTTTGTGAATTGTAGCCGGGGAGGTGGCTAGTAGTAGAGGGCGTGGCTTTGAGTGAGGTGTGTCTTACATGTAGGAATTGAAGGGTGTTTATGTAATTTCCTTTTTTTTTCTTTTTGGATTACTTTGTGCAGAGAAGCTTGGATTGTATTGGGGTTTATAGAGGGCTGGCTGGCTATTAATATGCTTTTTATGAGGAGAAATTAATTTCTGTTATATGATGCATTTTGTTTGTGTTTATTTTGTTATATTGGTTCATTTGTATGAATAAACGTTTTTTTTGTGATGTAAGTTATGATTACTAGTTTTTTTGTGGTCACCCTTGCCAGAAGAGAGGAGTCACAGAATGAAAAAGTTAAACCAAATAAAATAAAAAAAGAACTAAACTAAAGTATTCCGTGAGCGAGCCTTTGTTTCGTGACGTCACGCCCTCACCGAGAGCGCGCGCGGAAACGAAACATGGCTGAAATGGTGAGATCTCGTTTATAACAGTTATTGAGTGTTCAGTTTAAAGAGTTATTGCTACTCCAATCCTGCACATTTCACATGGACACGACGTTTGAGTAGTTGTCGTCAGAAAACAATCCTGAATATTATCTATAACTGCCCTATTGTGCAATAGCACGCTGGCTAATCAGTTGTCGTCGATTAACCAACAACAACAACATAGAAAAAGTGTTTTTGTTCAAGTAAATATTTAAGTTATAACGTTACCCCCAAGTATGCGGTAACTCACAGAGCGCCAGTTTAAAATTGAATAACGCTATGCTTGTGCATGTGTTTACATTGATTAATAAACAAAACAATAACAGTAATTTTACTCCCTCTCAATTGGAGTTAATGGTCATTTAATCATGGTATTAGCCGTTTACAGAACGGTTTCGATTTCTGTTGTGATCTATCCGTCAATGAAAACAAATTTGTTAGCTAATTCTGCTTAAGTTGCGATTGACAAGCTAGACAGCTAACTATTTACATAAATGCATTTTACAAATATAATTTCAGTTTAAATCCATGAGATAATATGGGAAATATGTTGCCTTTTTCCTTATTTCAGGTAACAGACAGTGACGGGGGTGTAACTGTATCAGACCCTCCAAAACAACCCCCCAAACGCCGACGCATCCTCGACGCTTCCTCCATCACAACAGTACCTGTTTACTCCAACAAGGTGAGTAGATCTCGCCTGCTTGACTTCAAAGACCTTCCTGACTGAAAAGAATATACTTGATGACCTTTCCCACATGTTTGATAATATGACTCTAATCTAAATGCATGGGGATAGATGTGTTGCAAGGTGTTAACATATGCTAAAAGATGATTCAGATGTTACATTATTGTGTTTTAGGTAAACAGCTCCTTAAATCTGAAGCCAATAACCTTCAAACACACCACTCTCACAGGTATAATATAACTTTTTATATGCTAACATTTTATTTTAGAAATGTATATTTTTATTCAGCAAGGATGCATTAAATAAATCAAAAGTTACCATATTATGACCATTTATGATGTAAAAAAATCTGTCAAATAAATGTTTTGATTTTTTTAATTTTATTTGTTTTTACTGTATTTTTTTTTTTTGTTCAATCAAATAAAGGCACGCTTAATGACCATATCCTTTCAAAAATATTTGAAAATGTTCCAACCCCAAACTTTTAAATGATAACAGTGTATATCTGGCCTTTATGTAATTATTGCTTCCTGTGAGCGAGGGTTTCCCATCACTTTTCGTTATAGATATTTATCATTTTTTGAGTGGGAGTAATCCGCGCCATCCTCACTGTTTTCATTTATTGTGTCAGATGAGGAAAAAGGTGGTCCTCTGTGGTCTCCTTCCCCACCTCGTACAGAGAGACGGCCAGTCAGCATTGATCTGAGTGGCTCAGAGGAGGAGCCAGAACAGACTGAAGCTCAGTAAGTACACAGACTGACTTTACTTCACCATGAAACACAAAAAGTGTGTCATTATACACCCAAGATCAATGTTGTTAAATAGCTCCTTGATATTAAAATGAACCATAGCCCTGACAATTAATCATCTGATGATTGATAAGCCTACCCCTGAGCGGTGTTCTTTCATCTAAACCATCATCTTCCATTTCTCCCTAGGCAGATCCTCCGTTCCCCCTCTCCACCCCCTCCACCATGTAGTCCACTACTGAAACGGAGCAGACGGGCAAACCCAAAAATACAGTCAGTGACACCATCAATAATGAAATAAGGCTGATGATACACGCGGCAACTTTTTGAGCAATGTTGCCGTCAACGGGCAACCAGGTGAGACACAGAACCCACGACCAATCTAAAGTATCCAGATATAAATTTGTTACCCATTCTCAATGGGAAAGTGCCCAAGCAACATTGCTCAAAAAATGTTTTGACATTTCATGATCTCTCTTTTATATTGAATTTCTCATGCAGTTTTTAGTGTTTTAATGCTCTCATGACAGACAATGTTAGCTTTTTTCAAATAGGACACAGAAATGAATAACAATATTAGAAGTAATGAAATGAACAGGAAGTAAGGCCAGAGATAAACAGATCTGACATTCTCTCACTCTCTCTCTCATCTCTGTCCTAGAGAAATCCACAGGAAATTGGATGCGATTGGCTCTCTGGTGTGTCTCTCGCCTGAGCCTCAGCAGCCTGTGGTTGAATACAGAAACTCTCCATCTCCTGTGAATGACTCTGATGATGACATCATCATCATTTCTTCTGACAGCAAAAAGAAACGACGTCCCCAAAATGCTGAGGACAGAGACTCAGCACGAGAAATTTCACTAAAATTTCGCTGTCGAACAGAGTTGTACAAAATCCCAATACTGTCTGTAAGTGGAATAGAGACTCTTGTTTATGACGTATTGCTCGATATGTGGCGTATTTGTTTGGTTGAGTATGGTCCAGTCAAGCTGGAAAATGAATGTTTTTAAATTTGACTTTTATTGTATGTACGTGCCTTTTGATTGCAGACGGCTCCGTTGAGTAAAGCTGTGGAACAGTTGGCCAACAAACTCAATGTCCGACCCAGCCAAATTCTGTTGTTAAAGAAAGATATTGATCTCCCAATTCACTCGTCCGTCAGTGAGCTGGGTCTCGGCATAGCTGACATTATAGGTAATAGAAAGCAGTAGCGATTTTGAGCTGAATTCATTAGCATGCATCGCAGTGCACTTACAGAGTGCACCAGTTGGGTTCCAGATGTAAAAGCTCCATTCATTTTCTCCACAGGAAAATAATCTTTAATGCTAACTGATAAACCTTTAAAGAGAGACCTGTTGTGAGTTCTTGACATGGTTAAATGATGGTACATGGAAACATTGACACAATGACACATACAAAATCCTGCAGCCTTCATGCAACTCCTTTTCGTCTCTGCTGTCTTCTCCAGATTGTGTAGTAACAGAGAATAAACAAGAAGAGAGTGACAAAAGTAATGTCATTACTGTGCGACTGCAAGGCAAAGAGAAAGCATCTGTGCAGGAGTATTCCCTACAAAAGGTGTGTACTGTACGTCTTTTTGGATCTTGTTCTTGTTCCTGTGAAATTAATTTAGTACTCAACTGTCATTGTTCATTTTTTTTTAAAGAATGCTCCTCTAGGATCCATCCTGTCTCAGTACGTCTCTGGTTTGAGCGCCAGTGCTAGACGGAAAGCCAAATTTCTCTTTGATGGGTCAAGGGTCTCGTATAATCAGACTCCAGCTGATCTGGACATGGAGTACGGTGACGTCATTGAAGTCTGGACCTAAACGCCCTCAAATATTGATGTTCTGTACTTTTTCAAAACCATGTTCTGTAATGCAATGTAACATGTAATATGATATGGTTTCTGTGGTTCGCAAGGACGGAGAAAAATATTTGTAGAGGAGACTTCTTTTTAGAAAAATGTAATTTTTTTTAAGATTTCATGAACAATACACATTTGACGTGTTTGAAGACATGCAAAAACAATATAAAGTCAGTTTTACATTGTGTATATGCATCAGATTTATTTAAGAATTGTTTGTTTATATATATATATATATATAAGAGTTTACTTGATTGAAAGGATTATAATAAAATGGCAAATTTGATCGATGTTTTTGTGGCCTGTAGTACTTGTGTCAGTTTTCTAAAGGGCAATATTTGAGTTGATTTTCGGGGGCATTTTTGTCCTTCTGAGAGCATGATATTTTTATTTTATGAAACAACACCACACACATTCATGTCAAGAAATTAAACTTAATCAAGTGTAATAAATTATCAGCTGGAACAATTATTGCTGTTACCAATAAAAACAAATCAATGCCAATTGCTAAAGTACCTGTAAATAGGAAAACATTTGCCTCTCCGGTTGTAAATACTGTGATGTCTATGTTGGCACCAAATTTGAGATAGGCAGATTATACTGAAATATTTGATAAGGAAAATGGGGAGAAGTGGGGTATTTTTTGTCACATTCTGAGGCCCAAGGGTGATGTCTAACCCAGATGCAACCTAAATTGAATGCAGCAAATGTTAACTTCACACTCAAGTGAACTCGTGTTATCTCAGGTTATTGATCAGCTCAAACAATTAATCACTGCTTTACAATTAGTTTGTGCTGATAAAGCACCAGCATTCATCAGCACAAAAACTAGAGACAAATGAAAGACTCAGATTCACTAGTGATTACTTAGCATCTTTTGTCTTTTTAAAGTAATTTTAATTTGCATAACGTGCTGAAGAACAAGTTAGTTTTAGACCATCCAAAATAATTTGATAGAACTGCCATACCATCCATTCACACAGTCACTGAATCACAAGTATATACAAACGAATAAAAATCAAAGTAAAAATACATGCATATCATGCTAGTTTAGGTGCACAAATCAGAATATCGTCTTCACTCACGGTTTTAAATTATGTTTGTCTGTCAAAACAGCGCAGTGAGGTGAAAATCACGTGTTGACCGCTATGGGGAGGGGGAGGGGCGCTCACATGACTAGGGAGCGGAAGTACTGCGTCATTCCAATATGGCGTCGTGCTGAGCTTGTAGATCATCAACAAAACAGAAAGTCGGTCGGCTGCACAGTTCGTCTCGAGACCCTCCACTGCAATTAAAAAAATGTCCACACAGGAGGTTAGGTAAAGATAGCGCCCTGAAACGTCTTGACAGCTCAGAGGGAGCCCAACAGCGTCCAGAAGAAGAACTTTGAGGACGCCTCTGACTAAGCTTTGCATTTTCCAGGTAAACAACAGTATATTATGTGTGAGGACTGATTATGGAGCAGTAAAGTCTCGGGAGACAGCTCATATCGCTCTTTTCTATAGGTTTCGTGATTTGCATGTTTCCGTACGAAAGGCTGTTTTATAGTTGTGAATGAAGGTTTTGCTCCTCTTAAGTGTTGAGGAAACACTGGGTGTGTTTTAAACAAATATACCACCATGAGAGCTTTCCATGCCTTTTCCATAACCAAGGGTGTAACTTTGGTTTGAGAAGTGGGTGGGGGGGGACGCAAAATGGGGGAAAATGTTTTCGATTTGAATCCCATTTCCTGCATGTACATACATTTAGGGACTATGGTGATACAAAATCCAGGAAATAATTAAGTTGATTAATGATAAATTCTGCCAAAAAGAATAGTAGGCTACTAAACTATAAGAAAAAGATGTCTTACTTTCTTTATTGTTTAATAGGGGCCGATCGCCAAGACTTGAGAGAATCATTTTATAAAGTCGAAAATGTTCACCATTAATGTTTAAATAATGTGAGACTCAATATCCACTGTTAAACAAACCTTTATTTCAAACTAACCGCTGTACCTGAAAATATAAAATAAATCACTTGTTGCACAGGACAGAATGTTCTACATCAGTGGTTCCCAGACTTTTTAGAGTGGAGTACCCCCTGAGGCATTTCTGCGTACCTCCTCTCTTCCACTTAGACTGCACCTTTTCCATTAAAGAACAATATTTGCCCCCTAAATTGACTTTCCAATGCAC